GGCCTCAGCGGCAGGGGGTGCGCCGGGCGACGGCCCCGCGCCGGCTGCGCGCGGGGCTCGCGCGTGGGGGGGCAGCGCCCTGGGGTGGCTAGGGCAGCGCGCTCGGAATGCAACGGCGTAGCTGGACTACATAGTTCAATTGGGGCCGCGAGAGAGGGCCAATGGGCGATGCCAACACCGACGGCTACGGCACGTGGGGCCCTTGGCGAGCAACGTGGCCAGCCAGTTGCAGTTCGTGGCGGGTCGCAGCGGAGGCTTGCGGCGCCCGCAGCGGCGAGGGGCACGAGTTCCAGATGCAGTAGAAGAAGGCGCGGCCGACCCAGTAGTTGTCTTGAACGTGAAAGCCGAGGCCGGGGCAGTGAGGCGGGCAGGACAGCCCCTCCAAGTTGGCGATGTGCCCCTGCTGGTGCCAGATGCGGGCTGGGCGAAATTGCTCGTGCTGCCATGCGGGGGGCCGAAGGTTTCATCTAGGCAGTGGGCGAGGGCGAGCGATCTGTGGGCGAGTGCGTGTCGGTCGCAGGCTGGGGGCGCGCAGCTCCGTGAGCGAAGCTCGATGCGCTTGTGGGCGGAGAGCGGGTCGGCGCGTCTGGTCCCGACCTCCAGAGGCCCGCGGGGTTGCAGATGTCCCGGCCGAGCGGCCTGGCGGGCCTGGATCGTCGCAGGGCGGGCCGCAGAGGCGGCCGGTGCCCAGGGGGGCGGCGCGAAAAGCGACCCTGGCCCTGTGGGCTCGGCCGGGGGCCGGGCGGGGCCGCTGGGGCCCGCGGGGCGCGCGTCTGCGGGGAGAGGCCCGCCGAGGCGGGGGCGTGTGGGGCCGTCGTGAGGCCGCGCGTCCGCCTGTCGTCGTCGTCGTCGTCGTCGTCGTCGTCGTCGTCGTCGTCGTCGTCGTCAGCGCCCTCCAGCTCCTGCCTCCTCCTCCTCCTCTGCCGCCGCCTGGCGTCGGGGGGCGGCCCGGGCGGGGGCGGGGGGGAGGGCGAGTGGGGGGGCTCTGGGGCGCGGTGCTTGCGCTGTGCTCAGCGGCGTCGCTGCCGCGGTGCCTGGTCGGGCGGGCCTCCGAGCGCCGCGCCCCCGGCCTCCCGGGCTGGGTCCGATGGGGGCGCGCGGAGCAGATTGGCGCGCGCGCGCGGGCGACGCGTTGCGTGGTAGTGCGGAGGCCGTTAGTGGTGAATGTGACGGCGATGGCATTGATAATGATGACGAGCGATGTGAGACGCTTGACACAGGCGTGGCGAATGTGTTGACAAGAAGACTTTCGCTCGTGTAATATTTTCGTTCTGCGCGCGCAGTGTTAGACTCCTTGCGCGGTAGGTGTTCGGGGGCGCGGTCGCTCGCGGCCCCGTCGGCTGGGCGCGCGGCAGTGATCGGGGCGCCAGCAGTGTGGCCGCGGGGCGCAAGGTTGTCGTGGTGGTCGCGATTTTCGCCCCCGTCTTCGCCCTCCTCATCTCGCCCCCTCTGCCGCGCCGCGCGCGCAGACGGCGGGGGGGGGGCGCCTCGGGGGGAGCGCGCGCGCCGAGGGGCGAGACCTCGGGGCCTGGCACTGGGGCGAAGACGAACAGATTGGCGGAGAGCAGGTGGGCGGCGCACCGGGTGTTTAGCGCGGAGATCCCGCGTTGGTTGGCGTCGCTGGTGCGGCCTCGGACGACGCCGCTGAGACCGTGTATTGGGTCGCGCTGCAGGCCCTGGACCGCGACCTTTGCGCCGACTTGGATCGCAGGGTTTGGGTCGACAGGGGTCGCGGGGACAGGGTCGCCCCGGGGCCCCCTGGGGTGGCGCGCGGCGTTCTGGCGCGCGTGCCCCGCGTTCGCGGCTGCGGGGAAAGGGTGGCCAGGCGGTGGCTTGCGGCGCGGACGTGGGCGACGACGGCGGCGTCGTGGCCTGGGTGGCGCGGGCCCTCGTGGTCAGAACCTCAGTGTGGAAAGGCCCTCTTGGTGGGAACCCGACCCAGGGTCGCCCCTGTCCAGCGCAATCCCCCAGGCCATTGCACAGACCACGGTCGCCCCCGCGCGGCCCTTGCGCCTGGACAACCATGCAGCGGCGCGCGCTGACCCGCAGCTCGCGGCGCACCCAGAGCAGTGCGGGGCGCCCAGCTGCATCGGCGCAGCCCCCATCGTCGCCCTCTGAGCCGCGCTGCGGCCCTGGACGGCGTTCGCCAACGACCCCGGCGGTGCGTGGCACTTTCCCCTTCGCTTTTATCTTGCTTATTTGATTTCGCACCACTAGTTAGGTGCCCTGGCCGCGCGTCGTCCACCCCGGCAGCGCGCGGCTCCCTGCGGCCTCGGCTGCTACTTATGAGCAGTTTCCGCGCCTATTAAGGGCCCTTGACCGTCCGCCCCGGCGGCGCGCGGCCCCGCGGCCCCGGCCGCAGTTTTGTCCAGGCGCGCCCTTTCCTGCCCCGAGCTCGGCGGCCCGGGGCGTGCTTCATTTGCCCTGCCTGGTGCGCGGGCCGCCTGCCTGCCGCCCAGGCGGGCGCCCGCGCCTGGGCCGCCGCCCCGCCTGCGGGGACCTCCCTGCAGGCGGGGCGGGGCGCTCCTCCCCCCTCGCCCTTTTTCCCCTCCCCGCCGCTCTCCTTTCCCCCCCCTCTCTCCGCGCGCTGCCGTGGCGCTCGCGAGGCTGCCGCAGCTTGCGGCCCCCCCGTGTGACGGGGCACCTGGGCTTGGTTTTGTTGCCCGCGCCCCCTCACGGGCCCGGCGTTTTGTTGGTCGCAGTCTATGCCTAGACTGCTCGCGAACTTGCTGCACCGTGTCATCTGCCACCCATCTGGGCGGCCTTGCGGCCTTCTTCCTGTCGTTCAAGCACCTCGCCAACTTCGCCGGCAGCGACAATGCAGTATTTGCTTTCCACGCACTGGGCCCCATCATCGCCCGTGGGTGCCCCGGCTCCGCGGCCCGGCAGCTGCCGTGGATCCCGCTGACGGGGCCGGCTGCGCCAGCGCGCTCAGGTGAGAATTCGTCCGCCTCGGAGTGGCCTTGTTTTTCCCTTTCTCCGTGGCCGCCTTGTCGGTCCTTTGCCCCTCCTGCATGCTAGCCGATTTGCTTTTCGGTGCCCCCGTTAAGGTTTAATTAGCTGGTGCAGCCAATTCTGCCTCGCCGCCGACGGAACAAACAACCGTGTGTGTGTGTGTGTGTGTGTGTGTGTGTGTGTGTGTGCGTGCGTGCGTGCGTGCGTGCGTGCGTGCGTGCGTGCGTGTGTGTGTGTGTGTGTGGGCGGGTGTCAAAACATTTGAATGGATTGGCTTCGTCCATTCCCGTGGCCACCTTCGGGACAGCCCAACACAGGCGGCATTTGAATCGTGCAACCAGTTGAATTTGAACTTGTGGTACAGCTTCCACTTCGCCAGCCGAAATCCCGGCCATGGCATGGGTCTTGGAACATTTGCCCGCTCGTGTAAACTTGGCGTGATCGTTTCTCCCTCTCTTTCTTGTCTTCGTTTTCTCCTGTCGGTCCGTCGCCCCTGTCTCTGCCCGTTGCCCAATTTCCTGCGCGCGCGTTTGAGATCCCCCTGCGTGTCGTGGTCCTGGCACGGCGGGGATCTGGATCTTCGACTCAGTGTGTGTCTGAGCGTCCGCTTTTGCATAATTCGCCCCGTCACGCGCTTATGTGGAGCCAGCTAGCGCTACACAGCTTAGACGCTCAAAGTGCGTCTTTGCATGTCGGACGAGATTCCGCCTTCCCCGCTATCTGGTTGTCCGGCTTGGACGCAGCCCGCCTCCCCGCTACCTTGTGGCCCTCTCCTGCCCCCGGGGCTTCGTTGTTTCCGCGGCTGTCACCTGGGGGCCGCCTGCTCCTTTCCTGTCCTGTTCGTCTTTCTCCTGTCGGTCGCGCCGTTCCCGCCACCCTCCCGGTGCCCCCCCCCGACCAGAGGGATCGGCCTACATCAGCATGATGTGTTGAATTTCAACGCTTCGGCAGTGTAAGGGCCCCCACTCCCTCAGGATCGATTCGGCGCTAGTCAAGGTGGCATGTATATGCTGCCATTCCACGCGCCATTGCGGGGGGCAATCCGCTTGTCGCCATGTGCTGCGGTCAGTGTGGCTTATGGATACTGCCAGTGTATTGCCCGCCTGGCGCACCTGTGGCCGTCTGGTGTCCCTTCTTTCCTCTTCCTCGTCTTTCTCCCGTCGGTCGTGTCGTCCCCTTCTTCCTTGCTGCTCTTCCCCCTAAGCGCGCTTCATTGCCCAGTGTTGCCCATCAGGCGTGCCTTTGGCCGCTCGGTGTCTCCTCTTCCTTCCTCCCCCTTGCCTTTTGTGCGTGTGTCTCCTTTCCTTCCGATTTGCCTTCGTCTTCGGGTGACTCCTCCGTTCCGTCTTCGTGGCCTTCCTTGCCTTCGTGGCGTGGTGCCTCCTCTCTTCCCTTCGGCGCCTCCTTCTCCGTCGGTCGGCCCGCTGTCGCTCTCTCTTGTCCGTCTGTCTCCTTTTGCTGTTTGCTGTCGCTCCTCGCTCCTCGATTTCCCTTCGCTTCTCTGGTCTTGCTGGCCCCTCGCCGTCCTCGTTCTGGCCCGCTCTGGCCCGTGCTGGCGAGTCCATTTGCTTAGCCTGGCGGGAGCCGCAGGGCGTGACCACCGAACTGCCGAGCGGCCTTCTTGCCCCACCCGCAAAACTCAAAGTGTGAGCGTGTGTGTGTGTGTGTGTGTGTGTGTATACCATGGTTCGGGCAGCGAAATCCCCCAGATTTCATGGCTTCACTTCCTCTTCGAAGACGTCCCCTGGCCTCCCTGTGTCCGCGCAGATGCCTCGGACCATGATGCGATACCCCCCTTCCTGGCCCCCCTCCTGGGATCACCCGACTGATGCCATGTTGGGCCAAGGAGGGCCAGATCCTTCTCTTCCGATGCTGCTTTTTTTGTGTGACGTCGGCGCCATGGTCCTTCGACATTTTCCCTGGGCCAGAAGTTGAACCCGAGCCGTGTTATCATCGCCCCTGGGCTGGGGAACGGCTTCCCGATGCCGAACACTACGCAAAACCCGCCGGCGTGACTCTCATAGAATCTGGTCTTTGCCCCGCAGGACATGCCGCCCTGGACCGGCAGGGCGGAGCCCCACCCGCCGCGCCAGAGCCGGAGAGACGAACGCGGGCGGCGGAACATGGTGCGCGCCGGCTCCTCCCTGGCGATCGCGCTGGAGGCCGCGCGTCCCTTTCGGAGCGAGCAGCTGCGTGGCGTTGGCTGGGCCCGTTGGCGCACTGGGCGGAACTCACGACAGTCGGGGGGGAAGACGAGTGTCAGTGATCAGGGGCAACGTTGGACGCAGCGGGGGGAAGCCTCGACCCGCCCATATCAATCGCCGATAGGGGCCGATAGCCCAGCCCGCCCAAGACCTTGCGGATTCACAACCGGGGCCGTATCCCCGATCTATTGTCGATGCACCGCCGATTCCAGCCTATCATTTCTTCCCCTGAGCTTGTCCCCCCTTAGCGGTGCCCCTGTGTTTCTTCCGCGCTGACGATCTGATGAATTCCCCCGGCGGCGTGTCGTTGATGCTGTTTTTGCTTCCCCAAGTCGGCTCCGCCGCAGATTTGAGAACGCCACCGAGACGGGCCCTGTCAGTTTCGCGTGATGAGCAATACACGATGGACTATTTTTGATAATTCTCGGCCTTCGTGGACCTGATTTTCAGCTATCCTGGCGAAGGACCTGGCCATATGCGGGCGTGAGTACCGCAAGGCAGATGGGACGAATGAACAAGGAACCTCTTTGGGGCCAGAATGCGTGTGATGGGTGCGCCCCAAAGGGGCGGTACCTTCATGCGGGCACTGGCACTGGCGCCTTCGGTGGAGCTCCTTATGGAGCCACGAAACGTGTGAGGGGTGAACCTAAATGGTGCGGTGCCGCGATGCGGGCGCTGCCCTTGGGGCCTTCGGTGGAGCTCCCTATGGGACCACAAAGCGGGTGAGGGGGTGCCAAATGATGCGGTGCCTCTATGCGGTCGCTGCTACTGGGGCCTTCGGTGGAGCTCCCTGTGGGGCCAGGTGTGAGGGAACGTGTGAGGAGAAAAGTAGATGCAGAACGCAGATGCAAGGAGAGGAGCAATGGAGGGGGCAGCGGGAGGAGAACGCAGGGCGCTGTGGAGTCAAAACGAGGAGCGAACAACACATGCTGGTTGGGAAAAGTGACTCAGGATGAAAAGACGTCTGGGGACCAGCGTTGTGGACAACATGATGTTCTTCGGCAGCGCGCAGGATGGTGGCAGGAGAGTGGCAGGAGCGCGCCGCTTTCTTGCGCCGGATGGCGCATGAGAAGCGGCAGCGAGCTCGCCGCCTTCCAGCAGCGGTCCAGAGCCCCTGTCTTGTTGAATACCCGTCTGGGTAGCGCAGAGCTCTGCAGTCGGGTGTTTCGCGTGCTGTGTGGCCTCCGCTCGCGGCGCGGCCGAGCACCTTGGCCATTTCTCGGGGACGCCTTAACGGCCTTCTTGGGGCCATCCTTCCAGGGGCAACGTTAGGGGGATTCATCAACACCCGCTCGCCCATTCATCACCAATGCGGGCCCGATAGCCCGCCCCGCCTATCGGGTGCATATCACCGATCTATCGGCGTCGCCTCGCCGATTCCAGGTAGATTTTCCCTCCCCCGAGCCAGTCCCCCCTGCTGCTCGCCCTCAGGGGGGGGGGGCAGGGCGCCTCGGAGGCAGATTCTTGGGTGTGCTTGTTCTCGGGCCGAGCGGCAGTTCAGGTCGCAGCGTGTCATCGGGTGCTGGATCTTATCGACAGAACTGCCCCAACCAGGATTGGCCAGAGTGGGATGGCTGGCAGTGTTGGTCGTGTTATTCGGGGTTCGGGGGTTGCCAGCTTGTCGCTGCAGGAGGCGTAGACGTAGCTTTCCCCTTGGAAGCGATGGTACTGAGTCTCTGTCCTGATTCTCCCCGAAGTCCTAGGCACTGTCATCACCGTACTCTTCGTCCTCCTCTGGTGGCTCCCTATTTAACCGTCGTCCTGCATTGTTTATCATCATCATCATCCTCCTGGAGCTTCTGCTCTCTATCATCCTTCTCGTCTTCATTCCTCCCTCACTTTTAGTGCGTCTGTGGGGATTTCTGGCTTGAGCATGGCAGTTTTGGACTGTTGTCCAATTGTTGGCATCATGTCTTATCCGAGCAATGCTGGCCTCAATCTGGCCAGCCGGCAGTATCAGGGGACTGGGCCTCCACGCAGCGGCCGAGAAACATATACTTTCCTTTCGTTCCCTTTCCCTTCCCCTCTCCCCCTTCCCTCCTTCTTGCCCCTGTTCTCGTCATCTTCGGATGACATCCTGGGTGCCAGACCTGGGAAATCTAGGGTGGGTTGGCCAGGGGGTCGGTAAGGGTTTCGGAAAGAGGTTGGCTGTGCTCAGCTTCCACCCTTGCCCCTTCACGCGAGGCTTTCTTTCCTTTCCGCTGCTCCTCCGCCCCGCCGTCCTTTTCCTTCCCCCCCTGCCCGTTCCCGCGAAGGCAAACGGACGCGGAGGGGGAGGATGAGGAGGAGAAACGAACGAAAGGAAAGGGAGGAGGAACAGGAAGAGGAGGACGATGAGGAGGTGGAGGCAGAGGAAGACGATGAAGAAAAAGGAAGAGGAGGAAACAGGAGGAAGAGGAGGAAGCGGAAGAGGAGGAGGAGGAGGAGGAATAATAAGGAAAACGCGTCGAATAATAAAACAACGAAGAAGATTACACATAGTCATAATACTAATAATCATAATAGTAAGAGGAGGAGGAATAATGATCATAAGGAGCATAAACAGAAGTCATCGAGTAATAAATGTACAATGTACTACGACGAATGCTGAGCAACAACGCTAATGCATATGCTCGTGAGGAGAGGAGTATTAATATTAGTAATACTATGTATGGATCCTACTAGCAAGAAGCAGTTCTTTCATACTACTAATACGGTTACGATTGTTACTACTATTAATAACATTAGCGCTCGTCATAATAACACTGATGCCACTAATACTGATATTCACTAAAAGCATGAATAGTCATAGTAGTGCTATTAGTATTAACATTACTACTAAGACGAAGACGAGCAGGAAACACAAACACATAGTAACGTGAATCATAATACGAATAATCCAAGGGAGGGAGGAGGAGGAAGAGGAGGAGGAGGAGGAGGAGCAGGAGGAGGAGGAGGAGGAGGAGGAGGAGGAGGAGGAGGATCATGCTGGATCATGCTGGCCAGAATTTTGAGGTCGCCAAGCACGCGCAACGGTAGCGAAAACGAGCTTGCGGCCTACCCCCAGGCCTGTTCTGGGCGACGGGGCGGAGACTCCTGAAGCGCGCGCGGCCGAAACATCGACCACCGCGTGACTAACGGCGGCGGCGCGTTCCGCGCGCCGCCGCAGGCCCCCCGGCCTCCTTCTCGGACTCCTCCTCCTCGTCCTCCGGAGGAGGACAAGAAGGAGGGGGAGGAGGAGGAGGAAGACCAGCAGGAGGAAAAGGAGGATACGGAGGAGGCGGCGGAGGGGGAGGAGGAGGAGGAGGAGGAGGGGGGGCGCACTTCGATGCGCCAAGTTCGTGAGCGCACTTTTTGCCGAGGATCTCAACCAAAATGCGCTGGATTTCGTTCGGCGATCATCTTACTGCCGGCGGTGCTGCCAGGATGCCAGGACGCTCATTCCGAGCGCGCGGGCTCACTTCAAGCGCGCGCAATGCAGTCGGAGCGTGTTTTACTGTGAGTTCTGTTCATCAAGTTCGCCCCGTCTTCCTCGAGCGGATCGTGGCCCCCCCGACCCTGCCTGGCAGCGCGTCTGAGCGCCGGTCCTGCCTGTCAGGCTGCCGGCGGTGAGAATGTGGATGAGGGCTCATTTTTCTTCGCATGCCGCTGGGTGCCCGAAGCTTGGCCGCGAGCTCGTCCGCCCCGCGCAAGGCCGCCCGCGTCTGCGCTGGGGCGATGGCCCCCCCCGTCGGGAAGCAGGGAGCGCGCCGGCCGCGAGGCGGCGAGCGCGCGAAACTGGCCGCCGATTCTTATCTTGAGAGGGAGAACGCCGGGGCCCCGCCGCCCCACTTGGCGCGGATGGATGGGGCGCCCGACATGAGGCTTCGGCGAGCCAGAGCCTCGCGCCCGTAGCCGCAACTAACACGAAGGAGGATGCGCGGGGAGGGGGCGACGGGCGGAGGACAGACGAGGGGCCGCACCATCGATCGAGACCCTCAGCTGTACCGAACGTTTAATTTTTTCCTCGCAAGCTCGCCCCTCCTTCCTTGGACGGATCGTGGCGCCCGACCTTGCCTGAGAGCGCGCTTGAGCAACGGTCTTGCCACTCGGGCCGCTGGTGATGGGGATGGGGGTGCACATCTTTTTGTCTTGCCCTGTCATGCCACTGGGCGACCCGAAGCTCGGGCGCGAGCCCGTCCGCCCCGCGCGGGGGCTAACGCTACTGCGCTGGGATGGTGGCCCGCGCCGTTCGCGCTCCCGGCGCCCGCCGCCCCTCTGCCCGTGCTGGCCGCCGCCGCGCGGCCCCCCTCGAAGGCGCCCGCCCGCGCTGGAGGGGGGCCGCCTCGGCGCAACTGTCGTTGGCGGCGACCGCCCTGGGAGCTGCGTTAGCTTCGTTGCCCGCGCAACTGCTCGCGCTGCTCCTGGTGGCCTCGGGCCGCCTCCTCCGCGAACCTCGCGGGGCCTTCCCCGTGCTGCAGCCCTGGGCCTCTACGGCCGCGTGGGCTGCCCCTGCGCCCGAGCTTCGGAGGTTTCTCTGCGGCCGCCTGCTGCGCTTCTTCCGCGTGCCGCAGTCGCTATCGCGGCCGCCGTGCTGCTGGCCGCGCCCTGAGCCGTGCCCCTCGCGGTCCCGAGGTAACCCTGGAAGCGTCGCTGTTCTGGCGGCCCCGCCTTTGCGCGATCTCCGTGTCCCCATGCGCCGCGCGCAGGGCGGGCTCGCCGCCGATCCTCGGGCTGTTCGAGCAGAGGTCGTTCGGGTCCACTACGTCGACCAATGCCGCTTGCGTCGCCGCCCTCTGGACACCCGCGCGCGCGGCGAGCTTCTCGTCGCAGACAGCGAGCAGGGGGTCGTGCATCCTCGCGCGTGAAAGCCTCTCACTCGCCCAGCCCTCCAGAACCTCAGCGACGCGCAGGCGAGCCTCTCCCTCTGTCTTCTGTCGCCTCGGCTTTGAAATAGTTTCGCCGCTCGCCTCGGACCCCGTCGGCAGTTGCTTCGCCTC